TCCCATCTCCTTGGGACAGAGAACCTGGGGGAAGGGGAAGGGGAAGGGGAAGGGGAAGGGGCAGCTGTGGGCACAGCTTTTGCAGACTTAAACGTCCTTGTCTGCTGGCTCTTAAGAGAGCAGCGGATCTCCTAACACAGCACTCAAGCTCTGCTAAGGGACAGACTGCCTTTCTCAAGTGGGTTGACTCCCGTGCCTACTGACTGGGACATGCCTCCCAGCAGGGGTCGACAGACACTTCATACAGGAGAGCTCCAGCTGGCATCTGGCAGGTGCCCCTCTGGGACGAAGCTTCCAGAGGAAGAAATAGGCAGCAATCTTTGCTGTTCTGCAGTCTCTGCTGGGGATACCCAGGCAAACAGGGTCTGGAGTGGACCTCCAGCAAGCCCCAGCAGACCTGCAGCAGAGGGACCCATTAGAAGGAAAACTAACAAACAGAAAGGAACAGCATCAACATCAACAAAAAGGACATTCACACAAAAACCCCATCTGAAGTTCACCAACATCAAAGACCAAAGGTAGATAAATCCACAAAGATGAGGAAAAACCAGCACAAAAAGGCTGAAAATTCCAAAGAACAGAACGCTTCTTCTCCTCCAAAGGATCACAACTCCTCACCAGGAAGAGAACAAAACTGGACAGAGAATGAGTTTGACGAATTGACAGAAGTAGGCTTCAGAAGGGTGGGTAATAAACTCCAAGCTAAAGAAGCATGTTCTAACCCAATGCAAGGAAGCTAAGAACCTTGAAAAAAGGTTAGACAAATTGCTAGCCAGTTTAGAGAAGAACATAAATGACCTGATGGAACTGAAAAACACAGCACAAGAACATCATGAAGCATATACAAGTATCAATAGCTCAATCAAGCAGAAGAAAGAATATCAGAGATTGAAGATCAATTTAATTAAATAAAGTGTGAAGAGAAGATTAGAGAAAAAAGAATGAAACGCAATGAACAAAGCCTCCACAAGATATGGGACTATGTGAAAAGACCAAACCTAGGTTTGATCGGTATACTGGAAAGTGATGGCAAGAATGGAACCAAGTTGGAAAGCATTCTTCAGGATATTATCCAGGAGAACTTTCCCAACCCAGCAAGACAGCCCACCATTCAAATTTAGGAAATACAGAAACCACCACAAAGATACTCCTCAAAAAGAGCAACCCCAGCACACATAATTGTCAGACTCACCAAGGTTGAAGTGAAGGAAAAAATGTTAAGGACAGTCAGACAGAAAGGTCGGCTTACCCACAAAGGCTAGCCCCTCAGACTAACAACAGATCTCTCTGCAGAAACCCTATAAGCCAGAAGAGAGTGGGAACCAATACTCAACATTCTTAAAATAATTTTTAACTCAGAATTTCATATCCAGTCAAACTAAGCTTCATGAGTGAAGGAGAAACAGAATCCTTTACAGACAAGCAAATGCTGAGAGATTTTGTCACCACCAGGCCTGCCCTACAAGAGCTCCTTCAGGAATCACTAAATATGGAAAGGAAAAACCAGTACTAGCCAGTGCAAAAGCATACCAAATTGTAAAGACCATCAACACCATGAAGAAACTGCATGAACTAATAAGCAAAATAACCAGCTAGCATCACAATGACAGGATCAAATTTACATATAACAATATTAACCTTAAATGTAAATGGGCTAAATGCTCCAGTTCAAAGACACAGACTGGCAAACTGGATAAAGTCAAGACCCATCAGTCTGCTGTATTCAGGAGTGCAATCTCACATGCAAAGACACACATAGGCTCAAAATAAAGGGATGGAGGAAGATTTACCAAGCAAGTGGGAAGTAAAAAAAAGCAGGGGCTGCAATCCTAGTCTCTGATAAAATAGACTTTAAACCAACAAAGATAAAAAATGACAAAGAAAGTCATTACATAATGGAAAAGGGATCAATGCAATAGGAAGACCTAACTATCCTAAATATATATGCACCCAATACAGGAACACCCAGATTCATAAAGCAAGTTACCAGAGACCTACAGAGAGACTTAGATTCCCACACAGTAATAGTGGGAGACTTTAACACCCCACTGTCAACATTAGACAGATCAACGAGACAGAAAACTAACAAGGATGTTCAGGACTTAAGAGACATCTACAGAAGTCTCCACTCCAAATCAACAGGACATACATTCTTCTCAGCACTACCTCATACTTGTTCTAAAATTGATCACATAATTGGAAGTAAAACACTCCTCAGCAAATGCAAAAGAACGAAAATCGTAACAGCCTCTCAGACCACAGTGCAATCAAATTAGAACTCAGAATTAAGAAACTCACTCAAAATCACACAACTACATGGAAACTGAACAACCTGCTTCTGAATAACTACTGGGTAAATAACAAAATTCAGGCAGAAATAAAGAAGTTCTTTGAAACCAATGAGAACAAAGATACAATGTACCAGAATCTCTGGGACACAGCTAAAGCAGTGTTTAGAGGGAAATTTATACACTAAATGCCCACAGGAGAAAGCAGGAAAGATCTAAAATCAACACCCTCACATCACAATTGAAAGAACTAGAGAAGCCAGAGCAAACAAATCATAAGCTAGCAGAAGACAAGAAATAACTAAGATCAGAGCAGAACTGAAGGAGACAGAGACATGAAAAAAATCAATGAATTCAGGAGGTTTTTTTTTTGTTTTGTTTTGTTTTGTTTTGTTTTGAAGAGATTAACAAAATAGACCCCTAGACAAATAAGGAAGAAAGGAGAGAAGAATCAAATAGACACAATAAAAAATGATAAAGGGGATATCACCACTGATCCCACAGAAATACAAACTACCATCAGAGAATACTATAAACACCTCTACGCAAGTAAACAAGAAATCTGTTTAATTGATAGGATGCTCTTTGCATTGGAAGAGTCCATAAATAGAAAGGCTTTACAGATCTGACATTGTACTGGCAAAATGAGACCATAAGCAGTGGCTGGATCTTCATTAATCAGTCCATATTTCATATTACATTTTGATTTTAAATTGTTGAAGTTTGGAACAGTAAAATGGTGACCTTATAGGCTATACAGTATACATTTCTACATATACTTCCCAGTTAGGAGAGCATGTGGAGTTAGGTATACCAGACTCTTTTAGCTATAAAATACACTATTCATGTACCTGACTTTTTCTGATTACAGACTCGTCAATGTACTTTTAAAAATTGTTTTTATTTAAATTTTTTGCGGGTAGTGTATATACATAGGTGTGTATATTGACCTATTTTCTGATTATCATGTGGACGCCCATTTAGGCACTCCTATTCCGTAAGTTCAAAGGAGTACTAGAAGTCAAAAGCCATTTTGTCACTTAATAAGAAAAATATCTATTTTAAACCTTCTCCTACTGTTTTATGAAAGGGTAGGACACACACAAGAATAACTAGAGTATACACCCGAATGATGGGAACTGACCGCCATATGTGATTCCATAAAAAACAAAAACATATTAACAGACTTATCTTTCAAAATCATACACTATAGCTCTTTATCCTCAGGGGTTGAAGTCCATATTTTCATTACGCCTGCCCTTTCTACCTCACTGAACTAAGAGAAAACATACAAATGTGCACTAGGAGTCAATAGTAAAGTAACCCTCCCCTATACTGCAAACTAAAGACATAGGATTAATACAGTTTCTCCCTTAGAGCTAAAAGCAGGGACAGGAGGTATACTATCATGTACAGAAGCAATAAAAAGGGGTTACAACATTCAGTGCTCAGCCATGCATTATCCAAAGGAGAAGAAACATTTTGAATCAACTTAATCCGATTCCAACTTCACAAACTAACATTTGTGTTGTTATAATTTGCTTTCCCAAGTACATTTGCTTATCAAAAGCAATATATTTGTCAATCGTGAGTATTCTGCTGCTTGTTATATCTCATTTAAAATTACTGAATTTCCATTTTTATTTATCTATCACTTTTTAAGCTTATTTAAAATTAACTCCTCCCACCCCAATATGGATCTGCTAGATGATCTGAGGCAATCAGGCTTCTGTGTCTGCAAAACTGAGGACTAAGATTCTGGTTGATAATAAATTCACTGGCAAACGGCTATCTTCTGGGTCATTTTTGAGCTTTTCTTGATGGGACCTACCATCAATATTGAAAGATCTCCTGTTTTAGAATTGATGAAATTGATTCTATATTCAAAAAAACATTTAATTATCAGTTTCTATTATAGAACAGCTTCTACCCAAATATCTTCAATCCCACTGACTTCACTTTTCCAACTTCTGATTTACAGTGTTGTAAAGCCTTAACAATTGAGAACAGAGGCCACAATTTCAAAATTGGCATGGCAAAAGTGTACTTCATGGGCAAGCAAAAGAGTAGAGGTCACAATGTTATTATCCCTGTCATTGCTATCTCTGGAAGGTATGACTATGTAGCACCAGAGATAAGAGTCAACGTTATTTAAGTGTAATATAGTAAAAACATAAATACATTTCTGCCTATCAACTAAAGAAGCAGAAAATGAATAACCATCCAACAGAGGATCTCCCCAGAGTGAAAAATTACAACAGAAGTAGTGGCAGGAATAGATTTCCTGATTTAAATAGTAAACTATGTTGCCTTTTATAGAGTATATGAATGAAATTGGCAAGAGGAGCTAATTAATTATAGCTGATTACTCTATCAAATCTCTTGGTAGCATAAGCAAAACATTAACTTTTTATAATTATTTGGAGTTGATACACTCCAAATGCAGTGTGCTGCATCCATAGGGCATATACATTTTAAAGGCTTTTTTCCTCAAAGTCTTCACTGCAATTTTAGATACTGGTATTTTGAGAACTAGAATTAAATAAGACAATTCATAATATAGTGCAAGAAAGCAGAACATTTTAAATATATCTAGAGTACTGGAAAACTTAAGATATGCAGTTTTGTATTTTGTGTAGAAATGACAAGTCTTGGATGAAAACATTAAACTCTACTATACTAAAAGCAGTGGTAGTCCAGAAATTTACCAACCTTCAGGATCGAGTAGTTTCTCTATGCCTAATTGATATCTGGCGATGTTGAATGCATGTTCCAGTCGCTGTGTGGCTGACTGCTGGCAAACCACACTATTCCAATCAAACAGGTCTGGCCTAAAACACATACATATACACACATACACAAAGACAAATATAAATCAATCTAGAATGTTCCATGAGATTTACTTCCATGCTTAATTTTCAATTGACAACCCATGCTCCATAGTCCTTAAGGCTTGAGTGTAATTCATTTACCCTTCAAAACGTTTCTATTTAAACAAGTTGTAATTTTAATTGAAAATCTTGTTGGGTGTGGTGGCTCATGCCTGTAATCTCAACACTTTGGGAGATGGAGGCAGGCAGATCCTTTGAGCCCAGAAGTTCGAGACCAGCCTAGATAATTTGGTGAAACCTTGTCTCCACAAAAAAAAAAAAAAAAAAAAAAAAAAAAAAAAAAAAAA